AAAAGAAAAGAAAATAGGAAGGGAGGGTGTCAAAGCCAAAGAGCATGCTTGCAGCTTGCTGCGCTGGAGCTTCCCAGCTGACCCAAAACAAAGCTTTTTCTTCCCGTTCTGTGGAAGCAGCGAGTTGTCTTGACTCAACTCAAGATGAAAGCAAAACATCTGAGCGGGACACACTTTACGGAGTAAAAATAAAAATCCATTTTTTGACCGCTTCTATTTTTACCAACACTGCTGCTAACCACGGGCTGCGAGACCCACAGCACCACTAACCCCAGCAACTTTGCAATTAGGGCATTCCTTTAAAGAGGGTCAATAACATTTAACTGGTCTCTATTGCCCCGGTGGGGTCCGGTCTGAACCATGCCAGGGGCCAAGCTTGTGCCAGCGACATGCACCCATTTCCCATGCTGGGAAACCCTCCCCTCTGGTGCAAGGTGCTGCTGCCTCCTCCCCAAATAACTTGGCAGAAGTCGCACTAAGGAAACACCGCAGATTTCACCTGGAGGTTTTTTCAACCCCGTAAAAGAGCAGAGAATTAGGATGGCAAATTAAGGGGGAAATTACTTCTTTGCAAAACAGCTGCAGGGGGGAAAAAAGCCTCTACATGCATGATCCTGGCTCTGCTCCGCAACCCCCTGCGGGGGACCAGCCCTGCCAAAGGGACTTTGCAAACATGAGATGGGGGACAAGCAAACCTCTCCTGGGGGTTTAATTCCCCTTGGAGAGGTTTGCAGCAGCACTGGAGCTCTCCGGAGGGCTTTTTTGAGCCGTAAAGGTTGAAATCACCAGTCCAGCCTCTTAGTGCTGATGGGAGCAGAGTGGGACGGGGTGGGGGGCACCCAGTGGCAGCGCTGGCACAGGGCTGCTCCCTGGCCCTGCTGCGGATCAGAGGCACTTCGCTAGCCCTGCACAGCCACACACGGGGATCCTGCCGGGGATATGACACCGGATCACCCCAGTGAACAGGGTTTATCCCCGCGGCGCACAAGCCACCCCAGGGTGAATGTGGGTAGCACAGACCCCTGCCCTCTGAAGCCAGGGCAGTGGCTCTGCCTTAGCAGGACAGGGGCAGCCGGGGGGGACACAGCACAATCCTTTCCGGGGGACCCCAGCCTTCACCATCCCCGCTGTGGTCGCAGCAGGGACAGATGCGCTGCCCTGACGGAGGGGCTCAGGGAAAGGCTGCGGTCGGGGGGGCTCTGCGCTGCCTGCAAAGTGACAGCCGCTTGCTGTTGGGGCTGCTGCCTCCCTGGCAAGACACGGCAGTGAATTCCCCGCAGCACCCGGCTGTCGGACACGGACAGCCCCAGCCAGGAGGCAGCTCATCCTGCCGGGGGCACGGTGCCAGTACTTACCCGTCCATCGCCTCCCGGGGATCCCTGCCTGCCGCTTGGCTCCGCCACAGATGGCTTTTTAAGCACATAAAATGTAAGTGCTGCTAGGTCTCCATGTCCCTGGCTGTTTTGTCCTCTGCATCGCACAAGGGTGTTTCGGGGTGACGAGCTGGCTGCGCCCCGGGCAGCATGTGTCCGCGGGCAGGAGGAGGGGACCCAGCACGTCACCGGCGTGTTTTCTCCAGCGCCGTGACGGATGCATGAGCGGCCAACCCTCTGCCGGGGTGTGCTGAGGCAGCGGCACCCAGCCAAGAGGCGGCTGTCGCAGGCATCGCGGCGGCCGAGCCTCGGCTCCCGGAGTCGCGGGATTCGGGCTGGCGTCTCGCCTCCCTGCCAGGCAGAGGCTCGTCCCCTCCTGCACTCGCAGGCTCTCCATAATCAGAAAGCAAAATAAAGACGGACTTTGGATCTTTTTTTTGTTCCCCAAGTCTTGTCATTTTAAGCAGAGTCATGATTCAGCAGAGTAATGAGGCTGCCTTAAATGACAAGAAACAAGCAGTCCCGCTGCTGCCAGCTGATTCGTAAGCCAGGATTAAACAGCACTGTGCACCCAGAGGAGAAACCCCAAATCCAAGGGGGCCATGTGAATACAGAGCTCACCTGCACAGTGCAGAGATGCTGCCAGCACCTCGCGCCGTCTGCAAGAGCAGACAGGAGATTTGAAGCTGCAGCATTAGCTCTGCCCAGCCTTACATAGTTTCATCTGTATTGTAGGAATCATCACTTTACAGCCCAGTTATGTACCTTAAAGCTGCCAGTGCCAAGCGATGCTCCAAACCCATTTAGACACCGCATCCAGTGTCTGACCGTGAGTACAAAAAAGCCACCGGGAGTCAATTCTGGCAGCAGATGGCTTAATATTTAACACCCCTGACAATTCCCCCTTTACAACATCATCTTTCTTTGTTCTTCACCCTGTGCTAATTAGCAAGATGAAGTTTTAATAAGCTGGGTTTTCACTTTAACCCTGCACAACACTTGCGGTGCTGCCGGCTCATGACTAAACCATGACCGAGGGCTCTCGCTTTCCTCTGCCTGGAGGCACATGACAGTGGCTGAATTTGTCTGAGCTGCAAAGAGTTGTGGAGACTTTAAAACAAAGTGAGCTCTCCTGGTCCACTCAAAGTCCATTGGACATGTGGGAGAAAACTCTGGTGCTCTCCCTTAGAGGACATCTCTGTGTCCACCTTGGAGACAACCTCCAGCCCCTGAGGGAGCAGGAGGCAGCCTGGCCCTGATGCTGCCAGGGTTATCACGGGGTAACCCAGAGCCCAGCAGCCAGCTCCTCAGCACCTGCAGGGCCAGCAGCTCTTGGAGAGGCATCCACCAAAACCACCCAGCTCGTGCCCATCGGCGGTGAAAGCAAAACACCAAATACAAGGAGTTCCACGCACCAGCATGCCGGGATGATACAAATCTCTGCCCAAAAAAGAAACGAGAGCGGTAACTTCAATAACTTCTGAAGGAGCCAGCACTGGGCAGGACGTGGCCCACTGGGGCTGGTCCAGCGGGCAGGCATATGAGACCCTGGTGCAAGGCATCAGTCTGCTCTTAGCTTATTTCGTTTGCCACATGTGCCGCATAAGAAACACAGCCATAAAGATTTTGGTGTCTTTGCCGCTGTCTTTTGGTCCCCCGGCCCAATTCCTGCCAGTACAAGATGTGCTTCATCTACCCCCCTATCATTCCAGTGGCCTCTCTCCCCAGTGCTCCCCTGGGTGTTAATCTCACTCCTGCTCATCTCCATCCTCCAAGACAAACCACCCCACAGTGTGGCCCGGTGCCCTGTTTTGCTCCCCCCCTCCCCAAGATCCTTTCTTGAAAGAGCTGATTCAGTGCTTCAGGAGCGCTCAGGGTTTCAGATGCTGAGGCAGGCTGAAATCCTAGCTCACCCCAACACACAAGTGCTACAACCGATACCGGGAAGAAATGGAAACCTAAGCACACCCCTCTGGCACAGCCCTTGAGATTTCCCAGATACTGAGTCACCATGAAACTCCAGGTGCTGGCAGCTCCAGAGAGCGGTGGATGGCTCATGGAGCCAGGCTGGCAACTCAGGACCCCAAATCTCCATCTGTATCCAACAGACAGTGATGCTGGACAACCTTGGGCCAAATGCAATCATCAGTCCCTTAAAGTGCTCTCTGGCAGCTCTCCCATGTGCGGATCCAGCCACGCAGACACAACCCTCCAACCCTCATCCGCCACTGGGCTGCAGGTGTCTGCTGTGCCGGGCACTTGCCCTTTGGGCACCAGGAGTGTCCCAAGAGGGAGAGGGAAAAGAGAAAGAAGGACATGTGCTTTCTGAAACAGCTTTGCCGCTCGTCGCCACCACTGGCACTTGCTGGTGGAGGGGCTGTCCCAGAAACCACTCCAAACCCAACCCAGCACATTGCACAATGCGCGGCGTGAACCTATCTGCCGAAGTTTTCGCTGCCAAACATCTGTCTAGCAGCAAAAGTCGAAGCTGCACCTTGCAAGCGGAGCCGGGGGCGCGTCTCCAGGCTCCGTTAATCTTCTCCGGGTGGCAAGACCCCTACCCACCACAAGAAAAACCCGGGCGGTCCCCGACGCGCCGGAGTGCGAAAGTCTCGCACCCCGAGGTCGGGTGCAGTTTGGCACTGCCCCCCCCGCTCCCCTTTCCCACCCTGCCCCTGCTGCCGGCTGCAGCCTGGGGTCGGCGGGACGGG